TTGCAACAATGTACATCCTAGATGGACCCTTGATACTTTACATAAAAACCAAGGGTGAGACATGCTCTGCAACAGCAAGTTAAATACAAACTTCTATATCAAGATTAACTTGAAGAGGTAATCTGAACCTTCATATGTAATGCATCCACTCTCAGAATAGGCAAAAAGCCTAGTAAAGCAAATATAGATCAATTTGTACACTACAATGTAAAGCGGCTTCCACTTCCATCCAGAAAGCGATCTGTATGCCACCCTTTGAACTGTAATTCTTTTAAAAACACGGGAAAAACTTCATTCATTTTCTCGTAGGCCTGTAGTAGGGTCCTGGTACTGAGCTCATGAGAGGCCTTGTCAATTTGTACCGCATATGCAGCAACTAGCCACCCTCTCAATGCATCTTCACCAATAGCATCTCGCTCCAATACCATGTCAATGCACCTATTATCACCATTTAAAAAGAACTTCTCCCCAGGGAAAACTTGTTTTAATTCAAAAAGCCTTGAAGGCTTAATAACCTTGTGAAAAGCCCTACCCACTCTTACATTTCCAGCATCTTCTACGAGTCTATGAGGAAATAACAAATCTTCTCGATATCTTAGATCAGCTGGGCTTGATACATTTCCAGCCTGGCTTGAACTCAATTATCAGTCCAACAGCATTTCAGTTTTACACATAAAGAAGAGAAATAACACACTCTCTACTACTGGTTGAAATTGATTTGAAATCACAAATTTTTGCGAGTCTGACCTCATTTGTATTTTTCAACCAATAACAGAGTGTGTGCTAGAAAGAGTGCGTAACTAGCACTCCTCAATAAAGAAAGGAAACCAAGGGAGAATTCATTTAAAAAAAATCAGACCACACCTTGAGAAAATCAGCCACAATCAATGCAGTTCTTTGTGGATTCAAGGTATTGACAGGAGTTGCTCTCATTTCTTCAGTAACGCAGTATATGTGTATAAATGATAGTAGAGGCCCCACAACCAACTAAAAAGAAATGTTTCATAATCCATCAGTTTGGATTCATAAATAAAAGCATATTTATTATTTCAGTAAATGACCTGATTATTTCTATCTCAAGAGGATAAAATAATAATAAAGTTATTTCTTTTATATTTTTTTAATAATGTTTCTAATTACAAATAATCAATATGGCTACCACAATATCTAACAGAAATCACATAATTTTTTACATTAGATGTTGGTCAAATTTTGATACAGATCTGTACCTTTCCCTGCATTGACGCACATACAGTAGATGCTAATTGAATTCCAACTCCAATTCCAACAACATTGAAGAGAGTTGAAATAGCCTCCCCTCTGGCAAATAGGTCACTTAGATTTCCTTCTTTTGCAAATGACGAATATATAGGTAATCTTGTAGCTCTTGTTGCTACAATTGCCATCCCCTGTTGACTCCAAAATAAATGGAAACGTAAGTTTATATCCAAAATGGAATAGTTTAATGAACAGTTACTTTCACTAGAACAAGATATGTTATCTATCATGATATACATAGGCATGAATGAGAAATTGAGAATGAACAACTAGTAATTTATCAACTTTGTATTACAAAAAATGCCACCATCTAAATAAATTTTAAAAACACAAATTGTTTACCTTGGCAAAATTGCCTAGGCCCGCCATTTCAAGAAAAAGCTGTGGACATAAGGGAGAAAGCACTTCCAAACCAGTGCCTAAATCATAGAGCACATCACCTGCAAGATGAAAGGTTTGCCACAGTCATAAACCATAGAATGTGACAAATAAGAGCTAATATATGGAAAAAAAAGTTCCAAACTTAAACAAACCTAAAATTCTCCAACGTTTAGGCTCAGAATCCATTCTTGCACCCAAATTGCTACATATTATATTCCCTAAATGTTGCATTCCATCCTTTAAAACCTGAATATCATCCAGAGAAATGAATTATGTATTAAATGCATGCCAACATAACTGGTCTGAGAAATTGTCAATTACAAAGTAGCATCAAATTACCCAACTAACAGCAGTTGCCTGTGCAGGAGTGGGCCGCATGCCTGCAGCAAATAGCAGTGACTGCAGAAGAATAAGCATACAGACCAAGAATACTAACAAAACTGGAAGAGAAAATGTGGCAAACTTGTAATCCTTATTGCTATATAATCTATACATGAATTGGTATCAGAATCAGAGTGCTATAGAAAAGACAGCAGAGACTAAGAACACTGCACAATACAGAAGTATGACTCTCTCCAGGGATTTGAGAGACCTTGCCTCTCCTTTCTCTTCATGCAAAAACTCCCCCTCATTCCAAATCTCTCCTCCTGACCAACATTATCTGTGTAGTAACAAAATAAATGGCTACTTCTGTTTCTCTGTTATTTCTATTGATGACAGCTGAGTGCTCTAACTCTCTACACTCCGTATTCTTCCCAATTTTGACTCCTCTTGTTGGAGGTCTGCTAACAGACACCCACTTCAAACTTAGTTGCTTTGTAAGGATCCTTCTGTAAAAACTTACAGTAAGTAAACAACAAATATCCGTGTATTATAGGCATTACAATATATTAAATTAGGCTCGCATGTTATATCATTGCCACAACATTGTGCTGGACTCCTTAAGACTACCGCATCAGGCATCAGCTCTTCATTACTTGTTCCCTCAATGCCAACTCATCTTCTCTTCAACTCTCAAGTCATGCCAGCAACCCTATTTCTTTGTCCCTAGCCAAATTCATATACTCATATTTTCATTTAATGTCTTTTTAGCTTCCTTTCTTTTAACACAGATGAGTAACTATTTGTGATAAGTCAAACTAAATGTTCCGTTAATAACATTTCCTTCCAATATGAGTTGTTCTCAATCATAAACCCTTACACTAATCACATTAATCAATGGCCTATTGCCCTTAACTATAGGCTTCCAGTTTGGCAAAGAGGTGATGTTGCAAACAAACTCGCTCCCTTTAATATTCATTTCACTTAATAATATATAATAATAAAGTTATACATCAATTGTAGTTATCTGCCCGGACACACCAACATCCACTGTGTTTGGATTAGCTTAAGAGAAGGAAGTGGCTTTTCGCTAAAAATAACGAAAATCAAAATGCACATAGTTTCTGCAACATGTAAGGAATAAACATGATTCGAAGTAAAAGAATTTAGCATCAGTCATTAGGAAAGTGGTTACATGATTTGCTGAGGTACTCAAGTTATTAGAATAAGACCTGAGTTGATAACACTGATAGCGCCGCACTCGCAATGTGTTGTAGTGCTCGAAACTGTGTGTATCTTAGGTAACCTTCATTCACACTACAAAAAACAGCAAAAAAAAAAAAAAATTAATTAGCAAGTCAAATAACTAAGGCATACCATATATTCAGGAAAAGACCAATCAACCTGTATGGATATCCTGAAGGGAAAAATTTATTCAGGAAAGACTCAACTATTTTGTGATGTAATGGCCTTGAATCACCAACAATCTTTACCTAAAGAGAAATAAAAAAACACATGCTGTTAGGCAGAGCAACATAGACACTCAAGAAATTCAAAATTTGTTTTCACCATTGTACCAATATTCGGAAACATGAACCAAAGTAAAGTAAGATAATTTTGCAATCATCCATGAAAGTAAAAATAAAAAAAATTAAAAAAAAATCCCAAGGAAAAAGTAAAAATAAGATGGAAACAATATTTTAGCCCAATTTTCATTTTAATCACAGCTCTGAGGAGAGTTTCCATAATCTTGTGCAAGGCAAGGTCTCCCACCCAATAAGATGGACAAAACTTTGATGCAGCCCAACTTTTTTTTTTTTGTTATTATACTATCAAGAATTAGAGTTTTATATCAATATAAACCTTTTATTTTGCGAGTTATCGAAGTAAAATTCTAATGCTAAAAGAAAAAAATAAATTAAAAAAAAAGGTATCTATGATCCTATAAAGATAGATAGGATTACAGAGAGTTGGCCGTGGGGTTCAAACTGGAAGCGGCGACAAACAGAGACAGAGGTTTCGAACCACAACACAGGAGGACCTTCACCTTCTTTCTCTGCTTTTTTCTTCCAAATTTTCATCTTCTCCTAGTTTTGCAAAACAAAAACAAAATTAAAACCAAAAAATAAAATAAGAGAAGAAAAAGAACCCAACAAAAGGTAGAGTTGATACCAGGAAATCCATGAAGGAAATCTGAATTTGGAGTGAAAAGGTAAGGACTTTGGTTTGTGGACCTCCGGTGTTGACTTTTTGTTTCGTGTCACTCAGAACTTTGGAACAGCGTTGATGAAATTCACACTACCTATCCAGTACCCGAGATTAGGATTGTTTTTTATTTTGGGAATCCGAATCTGGGTGTTTTGTCGGAATGCATATTACCATGCGTGCTATTAATTTTTATTTTATTTTTTCTAAAAATATATTAAAATATTTCATAAAAAAACTTCGCATCTTGCAGCAAACATATTAGTTGCATTAAAAAAAAAACATATTAATTCCATAAACGAAATATATCTTATTAAAAAATTAATCATCTAAAAGCTTAAAAATTTTGTTACTTTTTAGCCTAGATTAAGCTTTATTTTGTTATTATATAACAAACAAATAACAGGATTTAGAGGAAATGAGAGATGAAATTTTTTTAGGTTGTATCCTGAAGTATCCATTCCCGACAGTGGTGACTAATCTCCTCGCTACGTTGGAGGCATCTCAAAGGATGGGATAGCTGGCCCCAAGATTTAACGCAAGCAGGATTCAAATCCACCTTACTTAAGCGTGGATCAACCCCTACCGCTGAATTGAGGTTATATAGAGATGAAATTTAATTTTTAATTATAAAAATTAAAATATAAATTTATCAAATTATAGAAGGTAAATAAAATTTAAACTAAAAAATATTAAAAATAAGCAGATCTAAAATGACAAATTATTTTATAAGATCTAAATCAAGAGATATTTTTTTTAATGTAAAAAACATCAAAATTATATATAAAAAAAATATGTAAAAGAATTTGACACATGAACGCAAATCTCCATCTTTCAAGTCCGCTCTGTTTTAATCGCCGCGTCATTCTCAATCCTGACATTGTTTTTTAACTCTAACACCAGTGGCTGATTTGGCGTAACATGATTGGTTAATCGAACCGAAAACTGATTCAGAGAGTGAACCCTAGAAGACAAGAATTGGGTATTTAGGGTTTCCTTTTTTCCTCTTCGTTTTTCATATTCCTCAAATAATTCGTTCTCTCGAACATGGAATCGGAAGGTAATAACCCTTTATTTCCGTTGCCCTTCGATTGAATTGAAAAATTTTCGGGTTACTAAACCTATAACACAATGTCCTGTTCTAGGGCAAAAGGGTACGGTGAACCCATCCGCAATGTTGGCTTCTCTTCTTAGTAGGAGGGCCAAGCTTCACGAAGAGCTTCGCAGCATTGAAAAGCAGGTAGCTTTTTCTACGTTGGCATCTGGGTTGCTTTGGTTGCTTCGAAAGGAACGAAAAGTGTTTCTCTCTATGCCGGTTACAATTTATTATTATTATTTTTTGGTTCCTATAAATTTGTGCTTTCTGTTGGTTGGTCGATTCAATTCCGTCTACAATATGATAATTGGCCTATGGGCAAAATGTAATTTAACCTAAAATTGGGCATTTGACGTGATTTTAAATTCTATGTAACTGATGTTTCTTGTTGAATTGGGCATGTAGTGATACACTTCTGCTGCAATATCTATGATGTTCCAACCCCATTCCCATGCTTCAGTTGATCAACTTGTTTTGAAGATTTTACACTGACCAGTAATATGCCAAAATATGTATTGTAAGCGATGGAAAATAGTCATTTTACAAGTCAGCTGTGAGGTTGAATGAGAACAAAATGTACATTTTAAGATGATATTAGAGGTTGTCTTAACAATTGTTGTTGGGCCTATCATGATATCTGTGGTCAAGCGGTTATTGAACTCAAACCCACATTCTAAAAACTTGGAAGTATAAAAGGTTTAGCTCCTAAAAAGAGCATTCCACGTTATTTGTAGCAAGCAGTAGCTGACATTCTCCTCTCACCATAGGTTTATGATATGGAGACAAGTTATTTACAGGATCCTGGACAATGTGGGAATGTATTAAAAGGATTTGAAGGTTTCCTATCTTCATCGAAGAACACTGCACTGTATGTATGAATTTCTTCTTTGTCTTCTAGACACTAATAATTTTCTCCCCTATCTCGACTTTTCATGACCAGGCAACCTTTTCTTTCTGTTGACATTGTTTCTGGAGTTCATTTAATTTCTGCTGAAAAGAAATAGCATCCATATTCCATATTTTCTGTCATAATCTGCTATTGTTATAATCCTAATTCCTAAGGAAAATAGGAAGCGAAAGAAAGTGCTTTCAAGTATCTGTTATACACTTGATCACAGACCATATTTATTGGGCATCAATTTGGGTGGTCTGTAATCTTGATTTGTTGATGGCTGGAAAAAGCTAACATGGGTTTGATTAACTGTATTGATTGATTCCTGATATTCCACATAAAGTGATACATTGCTGGGACTTTCTTAGATGCATTAATAATTGAATCTTAACAAGATTTTAGATTATATAATAGAATTGTTTGAAATTTTGAGAGTAGTGCGAGAATTGCAATCTGTATCTGAACTGTGTGGTTCCGGTTTAAAATGGGTTGCACCCAAAGCAGGTTAGGTCACACGTGTCCTGGTTTTAAAATCCTAGAAAATGATTCACCCCAAAATTCATGTAAACCCCCCCACCCAATGAGCCCAACCTGCCCCCCTTTGTCTGAAACACATTTGTCTTCTTCTAATTTTCTTTTCTCCTTTGTTTGTGCCTGCTACTTGAGGGCTGGCTCCTTGTTTTTGTTGTTGGTTTGCGGTGTATACTGGTTGGTGAGTTTTAAGCTGCTGGGTTGTGGTGTTCCCTTGCCGGTTTGTGTTGGTCCCTTGCTGGTTCCCTGTTTTTGTGCTGCTGGAACAAAGACAAATGTGAGTCCTAGTACCAAGTGGTCTGGATGATGTTAAGGAAATATTTTTCAAGCACTTGTGTCTGTTAAATATAATCTTTAACTTGAGACGAGGCAAAAGAGTAGAGAAGGGAGATACATATGATCTCATTTGCTTGTAGGATATTGAATCGGATGATGAATAGATCATTGAAAAGCTGACTGTTTTAGTGTTGATGAGGGAGCCCCAAACAATAAAAGGAAGAGATGTAATTATTTATATTTTGAAGTTAGAAGTTAGAACTAGAAGTAGACTTTTATTCTTTTCTTTTAATTATTAATTATATAGGTTCAAGAAACTTAAATGCCAAGACTGATAAGGAGGGAAAATCCATGATAGTTTATGAGGATGAAATTGAAAACAATGAAGAAGGGGAAGAACTTTTGATATTGGAAGATGAAGATGACTTGGAGTGATGTTGATCTTGGGGATGATGAATGATCTTTGATAGGAGTTTTTGTTTTTATTTTGAGGCTATACTGCTGAATTTGTGTGGCAGCAGCAGCCACTGTTTGCTGCATTTATGCAAGCAACAACACTGGTTTTTTCGGGTGGCTGTATTGCTGAATTTGTTTAGAAAAACGCCATCGTTTTTATGAATTTATGCAGCAAAAACACTGTTTTTATTTATTTATTTTTATTTGGAGGCTATGTTGCTGAATTGTGCAGCAGTAAACAATGATTGTTTTGCTAAATTTGTGTAGCAGGCAACCACTCTTTTTCCGCCTTGTGGCTGTTATTACTTGTATCTTTGTTTATCTTGAAGCTTAAATGCTACTATATATATGTGTGTGCGTGTTTTCATTTTTCATATGTTTCTTATGTTAAAATGCTCCTAGAGTGCTTTTATTATTCATCATGAATCTTATGATTCATGGAACAATTTGATTGATTATTCAGAAAATAAGCTTTCTGATACATGATGTGTTTCCCGATTCAACTACCATGTTGAAAGACAGTTCATGAAGTGCAGTTTTGTTATTCATGATTATTTTCTTATGATCAATTTATATTTGTTTTTGCTTTTATGCATCAGTCTCATAGATGACACTTAATTTTTTTGCATGCATGTAATCATTTGTTTTAAGGAGATATAAATTTTATCATGGTTTGGCTCCATGTTGATGTTTGCAACTTTGCATGACATTTGTGAATCAAATTTCTTCATGGCAGCTTGAAGAGGTCTAGAAAGTTTCAACCTGAAGATAGGCTCTTCTCATTATCTTCAGTGACCTCGCCTGCGGTATGTTTCTGATATTCAGTGATATGTTTCCAACCAGGAATTGAATGAAGAATGTGACTAGTGAATACTATATACTTTTTCTATGTAAGGATAGGAAAAAGATAACTTGGTGCAGTTCATCTCATGTTTAGTTTTTACATCCTTGTTAGAGAAAATGGTCATGATACTTTTGCTTGATAAAGATAGCATTAGCATGTTAATCTTTTGGGAAGATAAGAGTGATTTGGAGATGTTGGAAGCATCAGTTTCTGACATTTTTGGGCTAAAGTACATTCATAATTCTGTGCTATCTTGATTTAATCCAGCCAAAAGTAATGGCAGAGCTCAGTTAGGAAGTTTGGCAAAGAATGCCTGATCTGATGATACCATTTTGATCAATTATGGAGCAGAAAACATTTCAGAGACATACTTTTATAGAAATATGAAAGAAGGATTGAACTTCGAAATTCATGCTAGGCTCCTAGTTATATGATTGTACTGTATTTTTGTTTTATACAACTAGTACTTGGAATCTTTGTGATTTACATTTTTGGAAGTCTATTTCCCATTGAAAGAAAAGAAATTAAATGCTTTACATGTGCTTAGGTCAGGTTCTTTCATTTGATTTCAATTTTTCCTGGTGCAATGCTTATTACTATATTATAGCTGTATATATTTGAAATTTTCAAGCTTGAATAGGATGCATAAGTTTCAAGTTGGTGATACATAGATTTCTAAGGTCTTTCAATCCTTCCATCCTATTGACATCCTATGCATAAAACAAAATAATCCTTTTATTTTTTCTTCGAATTCTAATTTTTCTAGATTTCAAGGTTCATGTATTTAGTGTCAGCATTATTTCACATAAAGGTTATTTCTAACTTGTGACATGCATTTTCTTCATCTGTTTACTATAGGCTGAAGAGCTTGCAGCTGGGCGAGATGGTGAGTTAATATACACAAGCGTTTCATTTACTTTCTTGGCAAGAGTTTTTTTTATTCATTATGTTTCTGTTTATCTCAGATGGTAGATCAGATTATGGTCCTGGTCGTTCAAAAGGTGGAGGAATTTATGCTAATGGACAGTAAGCACTCAACTATTATATCTTTGCTTTATTATTTTTGAATTAACTAATTAAGTAACAGCTTACTTTACATTAACTGTCCCATAAATCTTTGCAAATATTTAAAGAATGCATGCTGTTTGAGCTAAAAAAATCTGCATGTTATACCTAGGGGTAAGCCAAAGAAAGGTAGAGGTGGGGCAAGAGATGCGAAGAGAGCTAGGGCTTCAAGTGAACAAGATTTTGATTATGAAGATGATCCTGACCTAACTTTGTGATTGAAAATGCTGCCCCAATTTTCAGTTAACCATTCTGCAAAGTTAGAGCCTGAAAAATTTGCTTCCGTACTGAATGGATAGGCACTTGGTGCTTTGCTGTTCCTCATTCAATGTATATACTATAGTCCCTATAGTTGTGGATTTTGCACATCTTGGTTGAACGATTCACACATACTCATGTTTTATGGGAGGCATGAGTGACCTGTTGTGTTGCAAGGCAGCTAGGATACAGTAAATGTTTCTCTGCACAAGTTTTTGTCTGCTAGTTGATGATTGTTTCATTAAACTTGTTCTTTCTAGCATGATTTGTTAGTGTTGTAGTAATGCTGTACAGAACAAGAAAATAAAGTCAACTAATTTGAGCTCCGATGCATATAAATTGATGTTTCCTATTGTCTTTTGAGTTTTTAGTGTGCTATAGTGCCAATTTGGAGCGGCCATTTTGAACACTGCAGTCTTGCAGGTTGGTGCTGTGGCCATTGCGGCTGCCATAGTGGCAAAAATTAGGGGTGAGCATGAGTTGGGCTGAACTGGATTTATCCTTCTAAACGTGACTTGAAGTTTTGTTTGGACCATTTTTTAAAACTTGTACTCAATTTCATCAGGATCCAAAAATATGTGGACAAGGTTGAATTGGTTCGACTTTGTAATATTATATTAATTTTAATATTATATATAGTTAAATTATAAAATAAAATAAGTACAAAATTTAAATAAAGGTATATTTTACAATGTATATTTTAAAGCATAATTACATTATAAATATAATATCATGTTATAAAAAATATTATTAAATTTTTAATATTAATGCACAATAATTAAAAAAAGCTTATAAGAGAATATTATGTCAAGTTGGATTAGATAGTTTGAAACATTCTAAATTCGTCTTAGAAATGTAGTGAGTCCAATTTCAAAATTCAAGCTTATCCACTGGGCTGGGTTGGGTCATACTCATTCTAGTGAAAATGACCCTTATATTTAACTCCTAAAATCCTTTGTAGTTGTACGTAGGGGTGGGTATGCGGACCGGTCCGGCCCGTTTAAGGCCCGGTCCGCGAAGTCTGCAATTTTAACGGGCCGGATAAATCCGGTCCGCGAAATAAATGGACTTAAATCTTCAAGTCCGTATCCGGCCCGTGAAGCCCGCGGATAAACGGATAAGTCCGCGGGCCCAATTAAATCTAAATTATTTAAATGAATATTGACTTAGATTTTGAATTTATTTTCCTTTATTTAACCTATGAAAATATGAGGAAAAAAAACATATAAAATGATATAAATATACTTCTAATAGATTTTAAATTTCTTTTCCTTTATTTAACCTATGAAAACATGAGAAAAAAAAACATATAAAATGATATAAATATACTTCTAATAATAACATCAAACATTGTAAATAATAAATCAAAGTCTTAAATAACAAAGTTTACACATTCTAAATTTCTAATAGAAATATTTAAGTCTCAATGCCTTTAAAATTTAAAGTCCAAGCATACCAACTATTAACCAAATATTAAAGTCTTACTACCTTAAAACTTTAAAAGTCTTAATACACAACCAAACAAATATAAAACATTTGTAAGTCCAAGTACATCAAAGTCTAAATACCTTAAAACATCAAAGTCTTAATTAATATCTTAAAAACAAACATAAAATATTTGTAAGTCCAATTACATCTATCAAATATAATCAAGCATCTTCAATAATAAAATTTGAGTCCATATTTAAACGGGTAATCCGCGGGCTCGCGGATTAAATCCGCAAAATCCGCGGACTAAACGGGTCGGACCTAAAAAGTCCGTATGATTAGACGGATTAAAAAAAATGGGCCTGTTATCCGTGAAGTCCGCGAACTTACGGACCGGTCCGCGGGCTCAAGTCCATATACCCACCCCTAGTTGTACGAAGATATTACCTTTGATTCTTCCTTCTTTGATTTTGTTTTTTAATATTATGCATAAATAAAATTAATATAATAATTTTAAGGTTTGTTTTATTTAATTTTGTATTTTATATTTTTTTAGAAAAATCATCTAATTATTATAGTTGTTATTTTAAATTTAACTGTTATATTTTATTATTATCTAAATAAGTTTTAAAAAACTGATTCTGCACTGTAAACTAGTTTTTAAAACTAATTCAGAACCTATTTTTAGTGAACTAAGTCTGTTAAATAATAATATGGTTAAAATTACAAAGAAATTATAAAAGTGATTCAATTTAGTTTGGTTTAATTTTTAAAAAATAATAAAATAAAATCTTTGCAGATCAGATCTTACATGGCCTTTATTAATCCTTATAATAATCCTTCCATTTATGTAAATTTATTCAGATAGCTAGAGGCATCTGGTCCCTACAAAAATATCTCTATTTATAATTATATAGTTTGTACCCAAGGTAGAGATCAAATAAAATACATCATTTGTTTGAATTTGAAGTTTCTGTGATATTGCTCCTTTTTTAAGTTTAGTTTGTATAAGTTTTTAAATAAACACTTATAAGAATAGAAAATTAATTAATTAATTTTTTTGTTAAATCAAATTATTTTATACATCTATTTTTTTTAACCTTCCTTTAACCTTGTCAATTTATATTAGTGGATAATGGAGATCAAATATATTTAAGAGTCACTAATTTAAAATTATTAAAGAGTATACTAGTAGTATTTTCCTTACATCAAGTCATCTATTTGCATACATTTCAGAAGTAACTTGCAAGTTGCAACTAAGTAACTAATTGTATCTATATCATTTATATTTATACCGATTGATAAAAATAAAAAAAAAATACTAATCTCAACTATTTTTTTTTCCCATTTTTTTTGTAAGACCATTTTCACCTCAGCATGGATACAAATATAATAATCACTTCTCTTCCACTATTTTTACACTTTTTATTACTTTTACGCACAATTTGTTATTAACAACGATTTCTACTGATACCCACTATTCACATAATCCTTTACTTTACACTTTTTTTTTTCATGCTCTTCGAAATGTTTTTTTCTCCAAATAGTTTCTCTCTTTCTTCTTTTTGACTATTTTTTTAAAATAGCATTTGTGAAGATACAATGAGATATTTTCTACATATCTGTTCATGTGTGTTCTTTTCTTATATAAGAAGATTCTAAAATTCTATAATTATAGGCCACACTATTATTGAGAAGTAATTGGCAGTTGAAGCCCGTGACAGTTTCTCAAATTCAGCTAAAAGAAATCTAAGCCTTCAACTATATTATGATATGTCATCTTATTGTTTTTTATGTCACCTTTAAATATTTGTTCCGTATGAAGTGAGATATTTTAAAATTATGGGTAGTTACCTGTTAGGAAATAAGAGTTACAAAAATAAATGTTTATGTGTAAGAGAAAGTGACATGATTTGTTGCTTTTAAAAAAAAAAAATATATCTCATTTTTTCCACGATTGGGACAGTGTCAGTTATTTGTACAATTATAAAATTTTATAAATAAAAAAAATTGTAATTTTTATTTAAATAATTTATTTATGTGTTTTGTTTAGCCGTTTCAGTTTATCTACTTTGTGCAGTTTCTATAAAGAAAATGATATATAGGTTTTTATTTTTAAATTATGGGTAGTTACCTGTTAGGAAATAAGAGTTACACAAATAAATGTTTACGTGTAAGAGAAAGTGACATGATTTGTTGCTTTTTTTTTTTTATAAAAAAAATATCCTTTTTTCAACTATTGGAACAGTGTCAGTTATTTGTACAACTATAAAATTTTATAATAAAAAAAATTGTAGTTTTTATGAAAAAACTGCGTCAACATTTTTGAAACTAATATTGAAGTTTTGTTAATTATTTTCTTTTAATAATAATTGTGTGTTGAGTTGTTCTAAGGTGAGGTGTTGAAAAACTCTAGAATTAAAGAATTATTTAGGGGTCTTTAAGTGTTTTAGAGGAATTTTCTTAATAGATATTAAGTTTGACCATGAAAGAAGAAATATATAATGTTCCTTTTGAGAATTAAGCTTCACAAGTCCATTCTCAAGATTCCTAGAGAGATGAACTAGAGAAAAGTGCTTTGGAGATTCTGATTCTTCCTTTCTTCTTTCTAGGCTCTTCAAAGGTGTAGGAGATCTTTGTTAATCTGTGGTGGGTATTCAAAGCTTCTTGCTAAGTGTCGAAGTGTGCTGTGTGGAGTTCTCGGTGAAGCCACTCTTCTTCCCCTTCCGCTCTATTAATACTTGGAGTTGAGGTAAGGGAAGTTAGACTTCAAATTTGTGCTAGATGATGGAATTACATGACTTTAATGTACTAAATGCATGGTGGTATGATTGGATTGGAGGTGAAAATAGTTGTTTGGTGAGTTTTGTGTGCCTTGGTTCGTGAAGATGAATTTTGATGATTTGGTCTTAAATGTGGCTGCATGTGTTATTTGAGCTTGGATTCAAGTTGGTGATGATTTATATGAATATATGAAATATTGCAATACATGTTGGTATTGTTTGATTTTCAGGTGAAAAAAGGAGTAATTTGTGAGTCTGCATTGTGCAGAACTCATCGTCGCATTAGGCGTGGTTCGAGCACTTTGTCTTACTTATATCAAGCGCAAGATTGGTGACGTTGGACATTAAGTGAGAGAAATGATCCTATTTGGATTGGCGCCAAATGCTAAAGGAGTGTCACCAAGTGTGAGGAAAGATAATTGTCTTTGTTTTGTGTGAGGCCAGGTGTGGGATTTTGCAACACTAGACGTGAAGTCCCAAGAGTTCCTACCTTAACCACGTTAGGCGTGGGTTGAGTGGCACTGGACATGGGTAAGATAGAGAGCTCTCCCTACTTCAATAGCACCGACACATGATGTGTAATGTCGGGTGCGAGTTGCCTTGAAAATACTTGTTGTAATTAAATGATGAACATGAATAAAATAGGTGTGTCTGTTGCATGTTGTACTTGGATTGGTGATGTTGTTCTATGTATATTGATATTGGGATGATATATGTAGATTTGTATGGTTGAATGGTTGATATGCTTTGGTATGCTATAAATTAATGATGTTGTTAGATCTCTATATCCATTGACTTGAGATAATACATATAGATGATGTTGTAGAGGTGAATGATGAGAATACTTTAGACATTTAAGCATGGTGTGTTGACATGTTAAGGTGTTGAGAATGCTATAAGCATTAAAACATGTTGATTAACTTAGGACTAAAAGAAAATATGTTTTTGATAGTTGAATATCCTTTAATATGGATACTGGTATATGGTGCTTTGGGAGGCCATGTGTTGAAAACCTTCATTGAGTAGGTGATAACTCTTGGAGTGGATTGTTGAATCTCCTCTAAATCCTTATCCAATGTTGGAATAAGGTATGAAGTCAAGGGCTACCATACCTTTCACTGATATTGGAGAGGTGCTTGATATTGCGAGGATAATTCGCAGGTTAATCGAACAAGTAACTTGGTTAATGTATGCTAAGATCGTGGTAGGGCCTACACCTAAGTTATATTATACTTGACGATGGTACTAAATTTTCTTAGTTTAAGTGACAACATTTGAAAAATCAAAGGATAGGAATTGGTATGCCAATTTATTAGTTGTTGATTTAGCGGACATGTAAGGCGTGAAAACAATCAAGTTAATTCGATAGGGTCAAGTCACTTAATTTGCTAAGGTGTTTTAGGATATCTCCTTAGGTGAATACGTGATGACACATTAGTTGAGATATATGCATATTATATGTTGTGATTGATGTTGTTCATATGCGTTGGTGGTTATATGGTTGTATGACATGATTGTGATGTAAGTTTGATTGCTTGAGTACGTTGCCTTTCAAAAATGTTAATGCCATGTTGATAATTGTATGATGTGAGCCATGAGGTGCATGTTGAGTGGTTCACATGTTATTGTTGGTAGTATATTGTTCTTCATATACACTTGTTATATGTTGATTTTTTGAAATCTAACTTACTCTTATGTATTTTCTTGATGGTTGAACTACGATAATCATGTTTATATAAAAATATGACAAAGTTAGCTAGAGGTAGGCTAGAATTTTGGTGAGCCATGTTAATGGCAATAGCCCTTGACTAGTTTTATAAATTTTTTTTGTAGTTACTTAACCAGCACTTAAAATTATATATTATAGTTTTAGATTACTATATATATATATATAGTTTATTGTAAAGTTCTTCAAAATCTATGAACTTTAAATAAAAATTGTACTTTTCATTACTAGTAAATGATTTCATTAAGTGTAATAAGAATTATTACAAGTCGATAAATTATAAATTATACCAAACATAATTACTTAATTCACCACCACATTATCCTATACAAAAAATGGTATCTAGATGCTTCATGTGAACAAATGCAAACGAAACGGATTTTAGATGAAAAGGAAAAATATATATTTTATTATAAAAAAAATATGTACACAGTTTATATTAATGTAGTCATGCATATATAAATGACCACTATTTTTCTTATTTGAATTTTTATTTTCATTTTTAATTTTCTTTTAAAATTTAAAATTCATTTTAAAACTTTTTTAATTTATGTTAAAAAAATCAAATATATTTATACATGTATATAATCTTATTTCAGTAAATGGTTTTTCAATTTTATTTTTTAATAAAATTATTACAACCAAATCAATCATAAAACTGGATCTATATTACATAAATAATGAATTAAATGTGTTAATTAAGTTTAGTTAAATTTTTTCAATGAAATTAAGTTTACTCGTTTTTTTTAAAATGAAATTAAGTTTAATAAAAAAAATTAAGAAAACCAAAGTTAAGATATATGTCTATTTCTTATTTTCATTTTTTAATTTCTTTTTTAATTTTCTCTTAAAATTTAAAATAAATCATTTTAAAACTTTTTTTTTATATATATACCTATTATAAAGGAATACCATGATATATATGTTTTTTAATTTCACTTTTTAGTGAACGATTATATTCCTCAAAAGTAAAAAAAAAAAAAATAACTTCTCATCCTCTCTGAATAATCACTCACAATTATCTAATATTTTATATCTGTAACACTTAGAAGTACTAAGTGTCTCCATCCATTTAGTAATTTATAAAATGAATATATATTTATACATATATAATTTTATTTTAGTAATTTTTTTAACTTTTATTTTCTTACAACTAAACTATTAAACATAAAACTGGATTTATGTTCCGCAAATAATAAACTAAATGTGTACATTAAGTTTAGTTAAATTTTTTTCTTCAATTAAATTAAGTTTATGAGATTTTTTAAATCCAAATTAAAGATATGTCTATTTTTTTTAATTTTTAATTTTTGAATTTGCATTTTAATTTTTAATTTGCTTTAAAAAATTTAAAAACCATTTTAAAACTTATTTTTAATTGATTTATAAAATTTACATATATTTATACATATATAATCTTGTTTCAGTGAATGTTATTTATTTTATTTTTATTTTTTCAACAAAAATTATTACAACTAAACCATTAAATATAAAATTGGATTGTCACGAACTAATAAACTAAATGTTCGATGAAATTAAGCTTACTCAATTAGTTAGAATGAAATTAAGTTTAGTCAATTTTTTTATAAACCAAATTTAAGATAATTATGTTTCTTGTTTTGAATTTCATTTTCTTTTTTATTTTCTTTTAAAATTTAAAATATTCATTTTAAAATTTATGATTACATAGCGGTATGTTACAGATAAAATATATATATTTTCTTTAACTTTTATATATGTTTATAATTACAATTATGTAGTGTAATATTTCTAATATATTTTAAGCATTATAATTATAAATAAAAATTAAGTAGTATCATCAAAAACAGTACATATAAGTAAAAAAAAATACTGGTAAAAATTTACAATAGTATACTACAATTAATATTCACTTCAATGAATAAGGGAAAAAATAATTATAAATATTAAATTTAGCTTAATAAAAATTCATTATTTATTTATACTAATAGAGAAATTAGTTCAATAAACAAGTTACTTTTTTCTATAATTAAAATACATATTTAATCTATAATACATATAAATATAATAGTCTGATTTAGTATACATATTTTTAGAAAATTTTATCTTTAAATCTTTAAATAATATTAAAAATTAATTACTTTTATAAATACAAGACTCAAATTTAAGATTTTAAATTTTGAGGCTAATAAATATTTGATAATTTTTTAAATATTTTTATTAAATAAAATATAAAAATGCGAAGTAATTCATCCTACTATTACATAATAATAAAATCCTTTGGAGCATTTGAAATCGGATAAACAAAATTACAAAATGCCTCTTCCGAATTCCGATCCTTAATCAGTTTTCCAAACTTAAATTACATATCCACGTTATGTTATGTTTCTGCTCAGTTGGTCGAATCATTATTGGACCATTCCGAAATAAATGTAAAAACATATACTAGGTAGTTCATGCAAGCAAATGACAAATTTAGCACAGAAAAAAATAATAAAAATCAAAGGACAAATAAGGGAAAAAGGGCATTGTAGAAGCTATATATTGATATAAAAATGGTTTGGACTAGTCTCCAAAACAAACCTAAAAAAATTAGGCTAATTTGATCTTGTATGATGAATTATATTATTAATTCTTAGACTCAACTTATGATATTTTATTTTATTTTATAAAAATAAGTGAACTATAAAAAATAAAAAGATTGGATCCAACCATGTATTGTTCCAACTCATTTTAACAACTTTAACAATATAGCGTTGAATAGAGGAAAGTGCGCGTAAAAATGTGGGGTGGTGTATGTGCTTGTCCAATATTTGTGGCCACTGTAGTTTTCCCTTTGGCGTAAGATTGTTATATTCTATTGTGTTGCCTATAAATCATTTGTGATTCCATTCACCTCTTTTGGTGTGTAGCCAATTCTTTTTCTTTTGCTTTCTTTCTCCAAATTCATCCCAATTTCTCTCCTAATTTTAGGTCAGCATTCATAATAATCTACATTTGTTATGCGTTCAATTATTGTTATCCCATGCATGCATTATGTCATTATATATAACTTTATTATCTACATCTCAGAATGTTATTTTCTTTGGATCCTAATCTAATATTTGTGCCATTATTTAGTTACACCATACATGACTCAGCTTGATGAAATCTAAATTGATATGCAAATATTAGCATGGATTGTGCGTGAAAAGTTGAAAACCCAAAGTATAAATATTAATATAATCAGTAAATTTGTGTGCATGTACGTGTGTCTTCATCTTTTGGGGATCAGGTCGTGATTATCATTTTTCTTCCAGAACCTCGATCTGAAGCACAACAGGTATCCCATTGTAGCCGCTTCCATTAGATTCAACCCCCATTTGGTATAATATTTCATTTTGTTAAACATATAGAATACATATTAAAATAATTTCTCTTAGAAACATTTGTTATACAGTTTTTTTTTGTCATGTTATTTGATACGGAGTATTTACTGGCTTTGTTAATAAATAATTTTTATCAGAGTCTTTATCAAATAATTTGATTGATTGTTTTTAGTGAGTCTCTTCTAAATTATGTTTTTCTTATATCAGACTTGAAACTAAGATTTTATTTAAGAATATACAATGTTTTCCAGTTTAAGAATATACATTTGTTATACAAGGTTGGAAAGGTCTTCCAGTTTTCCAATATAGGGTAATACAAGTGTTGTTCTTATATATGTTTGCAACTTGTGCGTGTTATTTAACATGCTTACCCTTTCTAATGTTGTGCAACTATAATTGTAATTCTATCTGTACAGAATTGATTATATGACTGCTTGATTGAGTTATTTTGGATAGTTTTAATGGTGACATAAGTATATTCATTATTGATTGGTTCATAGTGATCATACGGTGATCACTAAATAATAATTACCCTGCAAGTTCATAGTCATCGAGCAAGGCATGCTTAACATGATAGTATGTTGTACTCAGTTGCATCTACTTTTGCAGAGAAGTACTAAACAATTTGGAGTGAGAGAGAGACGCAGAAAAGGAAAGTTTGGTAGTAATGGGGAAGGAGCAAGTTCAGGTGCTAAATGCCCTGGACGTGGCAAAAACACAATGGTATCATTTCACCGCAATCATCGTTGCTGGAATGGGCTTCTTCACTGATGCCTATGACCTGTTCTGCATATCACTTGTGACAAAGCTTCTAGGGCGCATATACTACCACGTTGATGGGGCAGAAAAGCCTGGTTCATTGCCTCCCAATGTGTCAGCTGCTGTTAACGGTGTAGCTTTTGTTGGAACATTTTCTGGCCAACTCTTCTTTGGTTGGCTCGGTGACAAAATGGGACGAAAAAAGGTGTATGGCATGACACTCATGCTCATGGTGTTAGCTTCCATTGCTTCAGGTCTTTCATTCGGACATGATCCAAAGACTGTGATGACAACTCTTTGCTTCTTCCGCTTCTGGCTTGGCTTTGGTATTGGTGGAGACTATCCACTTTCAGCAACCATAATGTCTGAGTATGCTAATAAGAAGACACGTGGTGCCTTTATAGCAGCAGTGTTTGCCATGCAAGGGTTTGGAATTTTGGCAGGAGGTGTGTTTGCAATTGTAATATCATCTGTGTTCAAGACCAAGTTTAGTGCTCCACCCTATGAGGTTGATCCATTGGGGTCAACTGTTCCACAAGCAGACTATGTTTGGAGGATAATTCTGATGGCAGGAGCACTTCCTGCTGCATTGACTTACTATTGGAGATTGAAGATGCCAGAAACTGCTCGCTACACTGCCTTGGTTGCCAAGAATATGGAGCAGGCTGCAGCAGATATGTCTAAGGTTATGCAGGTGGAGATTCAAGCTGAGCCAAAAACTGAGGAGAAAGCACAAGGCCAATCGTATGGATTGTTATCAAAGGAGTTTCTTACTCGTCATGGACTGCACCTGCTTGGAACAACTAGCACCTGGTTCTTGCTTGACATTGCATTCTACAGCCAAAATCTGTTCCAAAAGGATATCTTCAGTGCAATTGGTTGGATCCCTTCTGCAAAAACCATGAATGCTCTTGAGGAGGTTTTCAGAATTGGAAGGGCTCAAACTCTTATTGCTCTCTGCAGCACAGTTCCGGGTTACTGGTTTACTGTGGGTTTCATAGACAGGATAGGAAGATTTAACATTCAATTGATGGGGTTCTTCTTTATGACTGTCTTTATGTTTGCTCTTGCCATCCCCTATGATTATTGGACTCATAAGGAGAACCGAATAGGATTTGTGGTTTTGTACTCTCTCACCTTCTTCTTTGCAAACTTTGGGCCTAATGCTACCACATTTGTTGTGCCAGCAGAGATTTTCCCAGCTAGATTTAGATCTACTTGCCATGGAATATCTTCAGCATCCGGGAAGCTTGGTGCTATGGTTGGGGCATTTGGATTTTTGTATTTGGCACAGAACCAGGACAAGAGCAAAACAGATGCAGGGTACCCTGCAGGTATCGGTGTGAAGAATTCACTCATTATGTTAGGTGTTGTCAACATTTTAGGCTTCCTCTTTACTTTCTTGGTGCCTGAGGCCAAGGGTAGATCTTTGGAGGAGATTTCTGGTGAGAATGAAGAAGTTCAAACCAATAGGGCTTAAAATAGTCGCCACAGCAGTCACATGGTGGCACCCAGAAATGTAATAATTCAGTGTCTTCTTTGTTTAGGTTATCAGTCTTGTGTTACTAAAATAAAGTCGAGTCTTCATTAGATTGATTAAAATCATGATTTTCATTAAATATATTTACTTACTCATATCTTATTTAAAATAGGATATTAAATTATTTTAAAAAAAATTGAAAATTTATAATTAACATTATCTAAATATAGAATTTTTATATATATAAAATTTTCTCTCTAATTCAAAAAAGTTAGATTTTCACCCTTTTAGAAAAATGTTTTTATAAAAAAGTAGAATAAAAATAGTTATTAAAAAATATATTTTTATTTTTTTTTAAATAGTTATAAGCATGAGAAATAAAAATTCTTAGTTTAAGATTTTCAGAAAAGTATTTTATGTAACAAACCTTTCCTAAAGAAAACTAATTATTATTCATTACGGTGAATTGTTGATTGCCATATTTTAGTAATAACTTTTAGATAAACGGTTCCGATAATTCAGTAAAGTTAATAGTACATTCGTATACTATATTATCGATTATATTAAGAATGGAAGAACGAAATATAATTATTGTCATTTTACTTTTCTGGTTTCAATAATTATTTTTAGGAGATTTTATTATATACTGTTCTAAAATGTAAAAATGAATTTAATGATTATTTTATTTAATGTTTTAATATCTCTTTTCGAAATAATGTTTTAATATCATTAAATGCTAATTCAATAAAATTAAATAAACAATTTATACATGTAAAATAAATTTTGAAATAAAAATTTTTAAAAATAAACATAAATTTCATAATAATATTTAATGTTGCTATTTTAGAATTTATGTATCTAAATTTTTCCATCGTCCTTCAATTTTGAAATATATATTATTAATGTTATATATATATATATATATATATATATATATATATATATATATATATGTATGTATGTGTGTGTGTGTGAAATGTGATATATTTAATACATTTATATTTTAATTGTTAAATTTAATAAGTATATTATATTTAATGAATACAATATTTAAAGCTATTAAAATAATAATAATGTTTGTTTATTTATTTATGAAAATACTACATTAATGACATTAGGCACTATATTAATATCTAATGTAATAAATATCAATAATATATAAGTAATTTAATTATTTTTAAATATAGATTCTCCTCCTTTTATGACTCAACAATTATTTTATTTTTTTTACTATGAATTTTTCTTTTTTTTTTTATATTGTGAAATTAGGACTTTTTTATATTTTAAAAGAGAAAATTAACATAAAACGTTGCAGTATCTAATTTTTTAGGGTTTAGAATTTATGTCTTCATTAGCTTATTTTTTAAAAGAGGAAATATTGTTAAAATATTTGTTAGAATAATTTATATTTATAAATATCGTTAAAAATTATCATATAATATATAACTAAAATAATATATATATATATATATATATTCCTTATATCTAAATGCTTATTCTTTAAATAATAATAATAATAATAATAATAATTATTATTATTATTATACTAATATTATATATATTGCATATGTAATTAGGTAACTATTTTTTTGGTGGATTGTGGATTTCCTAATCGACGCCAATTTTTAGCTCCATTTCGAGGTGTAAGGTATCATCTACAAGATTTTGCAGGTCAGGGTAATCACCCTGAAAATGAGAAAGAATTGTTCAATCTTTGTCATGCGTCTTTAAGGAATGTGATCGAGAAAATATTTGGTATTTTTAAATCAAGGTTCACAATTTTTAAGTCAGCATCTCCATTTTTATTTAAGACACGAGTAGAACTTGTGTTAGTATGTGTAACACTACATAATTTTCTACGTAAAGAATGTCGTTCTGATGAATTTCCAATTGAAGCGGTGGATGAACCTTCATCTTCAACGTTACCAATTAATGAAGATCATACTTTTGAACCTATTATTCAAATCCAGGAACAAGAGCGAAAATACGCTAATGCTTGGAGGACTAGTATAGATATGGATATGTGAGTGAATGCTATTTAAGAGGACAAGATATTATGGAGAATTATTATTATTATTATTATTATTAATTCTCTAGACATTATTTTTTATTATTATTTTTGTCTTTGACTCTTTAAATTTGAATGTATGAAATTTTTTTTGAAATCTTATCAAATGTCAAAAATCCATGAAAATTCTACAAAATCCCACAGAATCCATTAAAATCCTGATTTAAAAGTCTTGCAGAATCCATTAAAATCCTGATTTTAAGTCTTGTAGAATCCTGCAAAATCTTAAAAGTCATGAAAATCCTGCAAAATCTTTTAAAATCCGTAGGATTTTTTTTAACTAAAAAAGTCCTTTAAAATCCTAATCCAATACACCCCCCCTAAATTGTACTTTTAGTTTCTTCTAATATGCAATATAATTTATAATTTTTTTTATTATAGTATTGAAAAGAATAACGATTGATTTTGTTAGAAATCAGTTTTCTCAAAAGAGCGACTGTATTAAGATTATTTTTTCTAGTATTTTTTTTATCAGACTTAAGACTTAAATTATAATTTATAATTTTAGTCTTTCAATTATTAATTTTGAAATTCCTTCAATATTATAAAATTTGCAATTTTGATTTTCTTTGTTAAATTTTCATCCATTAATTATTAATAGTGTAACATTAATCATTATGTAATATTAAATAAATGATATAATAATTAGTATTTAAAATATTTCTACTAAATTTTACCTTTATCTTATTAAAGTAGTAAAATAAGATGAAAATAAAATAAAAATAAGAATTAAAAACAATTTAGTTTAAATTTTATTAAATACTAATTATCATGTTATCTATCTGATGTCAAATCATAAATATTATTATAATTTTAATAATTAATAAATAAAATTTTAACGATAAAACTAAAATTACAAGCTTTATAAAATTAAAAAATTAAGATTATAGAATTAATAATTAAAAGATGAAAATTAAGGAATAAATATTATAGAAAACTTAAAAATATAATTTAACTTAAAATATAAGAAAGTACATCAATGTTGATAAAATCTAATGGGTATAGCAAGTGTAATTTACACATGTATGGGTGTGAGTGTGTTAATGACTATTGTAAAGTTTAGTTTTCGATCCACGGCTGGTGTCATCGCAAGTCCTATTGAAAAATTTAGATTTTGATGATTTCATCAACCACAGATGTTAATGCAAGATTCGTTTTACATATGTGTTAATGGATATTGTAAAGTTTAGGTTTTGTTATCGTTAAAAATTATAACGACAATAACATTCATGAGATTTAAGATTTCGTTTAAATTAAAGTATTCTAACTTTATACCATTAAGTAAACTTTAATAGTTTAATATATGTAAATAATCAAATTTAAGAATTCTAATAAACTATTTTAACTTCACTCAATTAAGTCAACTTTAATAGTTTAATACATTCAAATAATTTATTGTGTATGAATACTTAATTTAATATAACATTTAAAAATTATCTAACATTAATATATATAATATAAATTGTTTTTAAAATAAAATTTAAAATAATTATTTTGAAGTTTAATTAAAAAAATTTCATTATTACTTATAATTTCATAAATAAATTTTTTGGAGTGATAAGGTGGTCTTAATGGTTTGGAGGGAGGGACATAAGGTTAAAGTGATAAAGGAGGAATGAATTTGAATCCTCCTATTAACATCTAACAATTATTTGTTTGATAAAAAATATAATTTTTTACTTGATTTTTGAAAATACATATTTTATTACTAAGTTTCAAAGTTTTCACACATTATATTACTATGTTAGTTGATCATATGATGTGATTAATTGATTGTCAGTGTGACATATTTACTACTGATATGACAAGTTAATTGATAAGATGTTATATTGCTTACCGACATAAATTATTGATGTGACATATCGATAATGATATGACAAAATATGTCACATTAATAATCAATATGATAAATCAAAATATCATATAAATTATCAATGTGTTACGTCAATAATCAACATAATATGTCAGTAATTAACTAGCGAAATAACAAAATTTATAATTTCAAAAATTAAATGATAAAATTTGCAAAATTATAAAATACCACAATCAAAAAGTGCAATTAGGTCTTATTTTTAAAATTTTGAACATAAGTATTAATATAATAATTGATAATATCATTATAATATTAATATATTTAGCTAATTTTTTTAACATCATTTAGTTTTGAAATATAATATTAATATGAATATATGTATATAGATATCTAATAATTTAATTTAATAATAAAATTATATATTTTAATGAAAAGTCACGCATTTAATAAAATATATTTTAATTATTAAATTTAAGAAAAAATATTATATCTAATAATATAATATTTAATATATTTAAATAAAAATATTTATTTATATCTTCAGCTGTGGGTGTTAATTAAATTTGTGCTAGAAGGAGTTGATCATCACCATAGTTTTAGCAACATTGTGTTGAATCTCTATCATATGTTGGACACTCCTCATATGTTGCTAATATTGGTGACCGATGAAAGGGGCTCAATGTTTCCGGGTATGTACACTAGATTGTTAGTCTTATTTTTCTGTTTTTTTTTAATGTAACAAAAATACAGTGAAAGATAACATAATTTCATCCTTCATGTAATACTAATTTTTCAATATTCTTAAATCTAATTTAATATCACTAAAACTATTTAATTGTATTAAATGCACAACGCACATATATATATATATATACATATATATATATATAACTAAAATTTAAATTAAATTATCTACATAAATTAT